ACCACAGTCCCTTCTCCTCTGTTCTCCTCTCGGGATCTTGGGCATGCATGCACAGGCACCCGGCGTGAGTTTTAAGCCACCAGGTCCAGGACGCAAACCGCGGTCGACTACGTGGGAGTCCAGCGACATAGTCATTATGCTAACTACTGGTCCCTCCTCTTCCTAAGTTTTGTACTGTTCACCTCTCTTCTTCAGCCATAAACATTTTTTAAATAGTCTAAAACAAAAGTGATTACGTTTATTTTTCAGTTGTCTTTATAACCTTACAGCTTCTCCCTGAAGTAATAATCATATTAAGCATGATTGGAAAGGTTCCCAGATGTCCCAGTCACTTATTTGCATACAGATTCTTTGGCTGTACCTGTTAAAAGCTAATCTTAACCTATATGGTTTTCTTTTTTTTATCTCCTGGAGTCAGTTTACTTTTAGGTTGTACCTATTTCATTGGCATATTCATAAAGCTTGATAATATCAACAGAAATTTTTATGTGTTCTAAGAGAGTGTATGGCATGTCCAGTTGACAACTTAATTCATTTGCCTTATTCATTTAGAAGCTTCTGGTATTTGTTGTTGATCTTTTAGCAATCTTCAGTCTCTCACTAATTCATTCAGTCAACAAACTTGTATCTTTGTGGAGAACTTTAGGACAATAGCTTATCCAGCAATTTAAAGCAGATGTCATATTATAAATAGGCAAGCACAATAATAAAGGAAAAGTATGTATACCAGCAATCTGATTACTTGTGGTATAAAACATTTTAAAATTGTATTCTAAAGTAAAAGTGCCATAGAGACAAAAGCTAATAAAAACAATTATATGGGTGAATAGCGTATAATATTGATTTAATTATTCAGTCATAAAAAGATATTTTTGATGATTTTTTTTCCTTTGTAAAACTTCATTTCAAAGAAAAGTGTAAGTTTGAAATCTAAAAACTAATTGACAATCAGAAGCTGATATTTTCAGTTGGAATGAATTCCAGTGACAGCATGAACATACACCCACCGACGTGTCTGTAATAGAAACCATTTCAGAAGACTAGACTGCGGCAAATTTCCCAGGGCCTCTCAGTGAGACAGTGGTGGTCTTGGGGACTGACACTTTTCATCTTAACTTGAAGATAGACACCCTCCAGTTGTCACTCTATAGGAAATCAGGAAGTCTACTAAACTCACCAGTGGACTTTGAATTACACAGCATTGTGTCAGTGGAAATATTTTCTCCAATATTATGATTTATTCTGAAGGAAAGTCAAAGAAGGAGGGGAAAAAAAAAAAAAAAAACAGTGGAAGTTAGCTGCATGCAACATGGCCAAACAGCTGGCTGGTTTTAGATCCCAGAAACAGCTTGGGACTAACTGTGCACACAAGATCTTTTGGCAGAGTAGCTTGATGAAAATACCAAAGTTGTGAGAAGCAGTGTTCTTTTGCTGAATCCTTTATGTAGCTACCACATGGTTTATTAACCTAAATGAGAACATGCATACCTTAAAAAATATTATGAAACGTTTAATAAAGAACTTACTGATTTTTTGTATAACCCAAATGCGTTTTACCATAGTATTCACAGTAGATAAACCTTTTAATAATTTTCAGAAACTGGGAGCCAGCATTGGCATAGTGGTTAAGGTGCTGGAGTCTTACATGGTCAGCTACAATTCAAGTCCTGAGTCTAGCGGCCTACAAATGACATTGGGTACATGTATGTGCATGCCCAAAATCCTGAGCAGAGAATGAAGGAGAAGGAATTGTGACCTTGCCATGCTCCATTGGAGTGATTTCTCACTTTGCCTCTCTGTGTCTCTGTTTCTCTCTCTCCAGTGAGTACAGATGTACTATGGCAAAAACATCTTTGATAATAATAATAACTTTCAGAAACACTAATCATAGACATGAAGTGATTTCTTCTTTTTTTCCCAATAGTATGTTTGGAGGCATATTGGAAGAACGTAATGGAATCTTAAACATGAATGGGAGGGCATGGATAATTTCTTTGGCTATAAAAATTAATCTCTAAGGGAAATGAGCTTTAATAATTTAGGGCATCTATTTATTCAGTATTTTACCATTTAATTGATATCTTTTTGAACAATAAACACAACTTAATTTTAAACACATTTCTGGCTTACAAGCTACGTGCCAGAATTGTGGAAAATACAAAGTCTGCTTTCCTCTTTTAGAATTTTTTGCATTAGGTAGTATTCAGTATTTTGAAGTCAGTATCTTAAGAGTCCTACCGTCCTCTCACCCTCAAGTGTGTTGATTAAATGAATTTATCTTTACTAAGGAACTAAGGTAGATTCAATTAGGTGGGACATTTCATATTTTTATCATGAAGCATTTTGAGTCTATTCTTGGTGACATCAAAATTAGTTTCTCATCTCAGAGTTTGCTATATTTCTCTAGTGACTCAAGTCGTTTATTGGCAGTCAGTTTGTAAAATGCTCTCTGGGATTCTCTAAATGCAGGATGTTAGAAATGGAAATACATAGCATTGCCTATCCTGTCAAAAAATGTAATTAACACATATGATATATCAGTTTGCAAAAGTGGATGAAAATTCCAGTGGGTGACCTCAGGTCACAGCACACCAGTGTACCACACAGACTGTCCTGCTCCTAAACACCTCCTACCCCAGCAAAGAACTCCCATTTATTTCATTCCTGTCTCCTTAGCCCTGTATGCATATGCATATGTTTTGGTTCATAATCTACCACTCAATTTCAATTTTCTTAACATTTTTTGAATTGACTTAATTTATTGCATAGTAATAATCCATTTACATAGGATTTAAAAAAGCAAGTAGTCCTTTCTATCAGTACATTGAGAGTTTCCTCATTCTTCTATTTTGTTGCACATAATTCATTATATAGATGTCTATTTTATTTAACCAGTCCCAAATAGATAAATATTCAGTTGTTTCCAATCTTTTGTTGTGACTAAAAATGTGTAAAAGCATTATATTGTTGGGTTGGCCTTATGGCTGGTGGAAATGCCCAAGAGACATCAGATCCTCTATAGTAAACATAGTTTGAATCCTGAGCCTAGCCAACACAAAACACACTGGCACTCACGGGATTGCCCAAATTCTGATGCGCTGCAGGACTGGAAGAAAGAGACAGCAGTGTGACTAACCCTGTGGAGGATGCTCATTTCTCTCTTGATATGCACATATGTGCTCTGTCATGAATAAAGAAAAAAAGATTAAAATAAAAGGATAATATTTTTTATTTTTTCTGGGCTGCAATGGCAAAGTTTCATTAACTGAGTGACTAATAAAAGAACAGAAAGTTATTTCTCACAGTTCTGGAAGCTGGAAGTCAGAGATCATGTGCTAGAATGATGAGATTCTGATGAAGACTCTTTCTGGCTTGCAGGCAAACTGACTTCTCATTGCATCCTTACATGGCTGAAAGACAGGAAGCTAGCTCTCTGCATCTTCTTATCAGAGCGCTAATTACAATCTGAGGGTTGCACTCTCATGACCTAATTACCTCCCGAAGCCCCACCTCTAAATACCATTACTTTGAGATAAGAGTTTCAACTTATGAATGGGGGAAGGGGAGTATAATTAGTCTGTTTATAATATAATATCTATATTATTTTATATTTGTAGTCTAATTCTCAGAAACAAATTGTTAGGCTTAAAAGCCTATGCATTTCTAATTTTTATACTTACTGCTTAATGTCTTATGAGTTTGTACTATTTTATTGTCATACTGTGTAAGTGTAGTAGATTGGCCCATACCCTGTAGTTTTGCCCATATGAGAGTATTGCCAGTATTGGGGAGGTTTGCCCACATAAAACAGTAGGAAGAAGTTTGTCATTGTGTTTGTAATGAACACATTCCTTATTATAAGTAAAGTTCAGTATTTTGTCAAAAGTTGAACAGCCATTTGTATTTCCTTTCCTCTGAATAGTCTCTCAGATCTTTGGTCCATTTTTGTTGTTGTCATTGCTTTTGTTTTCTTTCCTTGTTGATTTATAGGTTTTCTTTGGACTTTACTTGTGATACTTTTTTCTTTTTCTTTTAACTGAACTGTTTTTCCATTATCAGAATTCTCTGCTCTTGTAAAATCTCTGTGAGACTACATCAACCTTGTTCACCTTTAGGAAGGAAGTTCCTGGGCAATTTTGGTATTTTCTACATGGAAAATAGGATAATTAAATTTTACTTGTTCCTGTCTCAAATATGCTGAATTATTTTCCTCAAGAATTCACCTTTCCATCTGGGTTTAATGTATTTTTATACAGTGTATCTTCATAGGATGTGTTATACCCTTATCAAATTTTTGTCCTCTTGGTATGTCAATTATTAAAAAGTAAACAAACTATAGTAAGTCATCTATCAAAATTTATCACTATAAATAGGTTAAGTTTTCCTTGTAATCTACTGTTTTTTGTCTTGTTTAATTTTAAGGCTCAACAAGGGAAAAAGTTCATGGATAATAAATATTATTTTCAAAAAAGGCATGGACTTTAGTGTTTTATTGCACTAAGTAAACTTGTACTTTAATTTCATTTTTCCACAAATTTTCTGAAGTCCCCTCATGTATTGAAATGCTTTTGAGTTCAGAATTACTTTAAATTCCTGATGGGTGTCTGATTTTGTCTGATTTTTTAAATAACTTTTTTATTACTTGTTCTAATTTGTAGTAGTTTCTTAAATAATTTCGGGAATAGTTATTTTTAGAAAATGAATTATCTATTTAAGAATGTTTGAAAATCCTACAATGGTCAGGTTCACACAATGACTTGGAAAAGAGGAATGTAAATAGTGTAGTATATAGAGCATGCCTAAGCTAAAAGCTAATGAATATATATGTATTAAAAGAATTTTAGAATGCCTCAAATTTTCCAGTGAGTTAACACGAAACTGCATCTGTGCAATTAATTTAAAGAATAGGAATTTATCTATAATTTTCATAGAAAAACAAACAAACCCAAGTTTTAATTTTTGGTAATCTGAATTGCTGAATTATTTTCTACACTGTGTAGATTCATATCTCTTTGATCAATGGGAGACCAAGCGCTGATGACCCATCTCCTGAACTTCTGGAATTCACCTCCGCTCGCTACATTCGCCTGAGATTTCAGAGGATCCGCACTTTGAATGCCGACTTGATGATGTTTGCCCACAAAGATCCCAGAGAGATTGACCCCATTGTTACAAGAAGAGTAAGTTACGATTAGAGATATTAGAACCCAAGAATGATATTGTAGCCATATTTTTAACTATCATGTAAAAAATTTAAAAATAAATATTTCAGTAAATTATAGGAGTAGGTATTAAAAAAGATTTTAAAATTTGATAGACCTTTTGCTCAAATCTAAGCTGTACCTCTTGGTAGTTGTATATCATTTGTCTGACTTTTTAACATATTGAAAATTGAACTTGTCCTTTTCTGAAATGAGAGTCAGACTGTTTGGCTCATAATTTTTTTTAAGTGTATTATTTATTTCCACTATGAGGGAGACAGAAAGACAGTCCTATCAGAGTTCCCACGCTGTAATCCAATCTCAGTCTCAGCCAGCTCGATTATGGACATACATCTGCACATATACCCTCCTGGAGTGCTCAGAAAGGCCCCCAGACATGAATTCAGAGCCTTTTCCCTGTAGCTCCTGTTGAGCCACCGCCTGACCATAATCTCATTTTTGACAGCTAAATTTGCTTTTGTCAGTTTAGCCAGTGTGTGCTTCTATTATAATTGACTTTAAAGTGTTACTACCAGAAATGTAAGGACTTTGAAACATTTTGTTTTACCACAATCTATAGTAATAATTTCATTTTATATTATTCACAGTACACACACACACACACAGAGTAGTGTGTCTTAAAGTTTAAAGTACATAGAATCCCTGATGATCTTGTGAAAATACAGATTTTGATTCAGGAGGTCTAGGGCAGGCTGAGATTCTGCTCTTTTAGAATGTTCTTAGGTCATGTCAAGATTGCAGATATGTCAACCATTTTATCAAATAATTTGCTTTTATGTTTTATTACTGAATCTTAAGCCACATTTAAAAAAACATTGCTGTAGGGGGAAGCTGATTCTACACACAGTTTCATTTCAGTTATAAATAAAATACCAGGGGAAAAAAAGTTAAAGCATACTTTCAAAAGATCTTTATATACAGGAACTAACCAAAGTATTGTCTCTCAGTGTTACATTGGAATTTGTAGGTTATGATATAGATGATCCACCTAGAAGGTTCTGAGTGGTAATTGTGCTTTTTCCTCTATACCCCCACCATAGTCACTGGTTTATGTCACCTCCCTCGTATGCTACTGCACAACCAAGAGTGTCAGTTCAGCCATAAAGCAATTACTGCTAACAGAGTAGCTACCTACTGTATGGCTAGATGGACAGAGAATGAGACATATAGGGAGAAACTAACATCGAGAACAAGACATTTCGTCCTAAAATGATCTTGACATCAGACTACTGCTACTAATCGCCAAAGTACTGAACCAGTAGGCTGAATATTCATAGCTTCTGAATATTCTTTGTGTGTTTTCTGTCCTCATAGTTAACTTGCCCATGCGTAACCTCTCCATTATGAAAAACTATTTTTGAAGTTTTAGTTATCCACGCATAACATGTGTTGGGTATTTTTGTGGCCTGTATTTTCTAAATCTGAAATAATTTTATTCTTTATTATATTCCAACATATTATAATTATTACTTCATGCACAAGTAATCATTATTTTATAGGAATGTTTAGATTCTTCATTTGGTTAAAAAAATCACTTTCAATTCTAATTTTGACATGAGTTAAAAATATACACTGAGAAAGACTGAATAATACTGAAGTGAAATTTAATCTTTCCTGACAGTGTATCTATCAGGGAAACAAAAAATCAATGAAAATGAATTAATGTTCCTTTTTATAATCTTTTTCAGGAGGCAGATTTGGGGATCGGGTGCATATTTATTATTTATATCTGCATTGTACATGAGCCTTTAAAATAGTGCAATGAAAATCAACATATAAATATGTTTTTCTGAAAGCACTCAAGTTCAATAAATACTACATATGAATTTAAATATATGAAAATAGGATATTGAATTTCAGCTCCTCTTTATGTCTCAAAAACAAAGCAGTATAGATTTATATTTAAAATAAATTTCTAAATTTTAAAAGCATCTGCAAATACTACTATATCAGGTTTCTAAGTAAATACCTCTATTTGTATCCATATATTAAGTGATAAATTTAAGAAAAAAGGGGATTTTTATGTTATCTAAATTTCATAGCAAGTTCTACTAGTTCAAGGTATTGGTATATCAAATAAGATAATGTAGCAAAAATATTTAAAAAACACTACATGTGATTAAAAACATACAAAAGGAAGAAAGAAAAAAAGGAGAAAAGGAAATTTATAGTTAGGAGATTCAGATTTGTGTCCATGTACTTATTCTTGCTAAATCTTTTTTTTTTAATGTGTATAATTGGAATAATTGAACTATCTACCACTGAGATGGTTATTGGATTCCGTATGATAACGTAAAGTGCTCTGACAATTATAAAGTGTTATACACATATTAATTAAAAAATTAAAAATAGTTCAGCTCTGTAATTATGAATATCTTTAAAAATAGCTGGTAGATTAAAATAATTAAGATCATAGACCTATATTAACTTCAGAAAGCAAGTAATTGCGGGGAACTTTTAACAATAGTAAGAGAGGCAAGTGTTCTCCAAATCAAATTCATAATTACTTTTTATTTCCCTTTAAATATGGATGAAAAATGTTTGCTATTAGCATAATTTCCCCTAAATTTGTTAGTTCTTTTTAAATACACCCAGTAAAGCAGTCTGCACATTACTTGTGAATACTGAGATTTCGCTAAGCACAATAAAAGAGGTTTTCTTTCCATGTCAAGAAATAACATAAAACAACTTTTATGAATAATTATTCTTTTAAGTTTCTTTCTTTCATTCTTCCCTGAGCAAGAGACACAGAGAGAGACCCCTTAATAAGGTCTCATTCCACGATCCACCCCATCTCAGTCAGCCCTGGTCAAATGCTGGAACAGTCACTCCCTCTCTGTTTCTGTCTCTCTCTTTCAGAAGAAATAGTAACTCAGTTTTTAAAATGCCCACTTATTGTAAATTCAAGGCATGTTTCCTTTGGGCTATGATTATAGGGATAGGAGTTACTTTGTTTGTCAGTCCTTTCTGTGCTCGAAAAACACAAATGTGCTTAAAACTAAGGATAAAAGCAGACAATAAAGTTTTTAAGTGAATGTTCTGTTTTGTTACTTTCACCTTGCAGTCATCTTAACAGGATTTCTCTCTGGATTGCTTTTTTGCAGTATTACTACTCAGTCAAGGATATTTCAGTTGGAGGGATGTGCATCTGCTATGGTCATGCCAGGGCTTGTCCACTTGATCCAGTGACAAATGTATGTATATTTATAGGATGCTTAGGCAAAATGAAACCTTGAACTGTAAAATGCTTCATGAGAGGCTTTGCTGACAGGGAATGTGAGAATGGGTGTCAGGTCCCCACTTAAATGGTGTAACAGAAAGCTGTGCCAGGGAGAAATAGAGCTGGCAGTTAGTTTGATAGACTTTGAAGTCAGCCATCAGAGTATCAGAAAACAGATTAGTATTTTTTTTCCCCAAAAAGGCTCTAAGCTGGTCAATCTATTTTGAAACCTCTCTAGCTATGACAACCTGCTGCATGATTTAGCTTTAGAGAATGCCTGCCATCAATCAACCTGACCATTTTTTTAAACATTTTTTTAATTAAAAAATTAATGCAAACGTATGACAAATGTGCATGGGAGTAAATACATAAATGGCTAAGGAATAAGAGGCTGAGGTAGAATAAGGCAATATGGAGTGGGGTGGAAAAGAGTATTCAAGAATGTGTTAAAACTGCCAGCCAGAAAATGCCAGAATGCTCTGGGGTAGAATTTTTCATTAATGACAGTATATTAAGTGAATGTAACCTAAAGAAGAAGATGAATGAGCTTCTGCATTTCCTGTCATAAACAAACTGATGAAATTCACAATCATCTACTGGACAGTACATGGGAAAAATATATTGCATAGTAAGATCAGCCAATGTAGGGAGAACTAGATTTTTTTTTTTTTTTGCCCCTGCTAAAACTGTACTATAAATGACATTATACTCAAAGCTAGTTTTCTTTTCTCTTTCTTTTTTTTTTTTTAATCACTGGAGGGCACATACACTTGCCAGAGAAAGAAAGCACAGCCTGTCCCCCCGCAATGGCGGATGGTTATGCCTCAATCTCTTTTTCTCCATTTCTCCACCTTGTCAGGATCTCAGGCATGCATGTGCTCTGCCTGGCTTGTTTTTCTAGCCACCAGGTCTGGCATTTGAACTGGTTAGCCATGTGGGATCCAACTCTCAATGCACAGTGCTTAAACATTATACTGCAGAGCTGGCCCAAAGCTAGTTTTCTGATTAATGTTATCTCCCAGGAAGATCCAAATACCCTGGCCTATTTCTTTGGACAAGGTGGTAGTATTGGTTTCTACAGAGGAGTTCTACATCTGGGAGGGCACCTGCAGATGCACCGATAGGCTGTGTTTCTCAAGCTTTGAGAGCCCAAGAGGCAGCCTTGAAAGGCAGTTCCATGTTATGAATTGAGACTGTGCTCAGAGCATACACGGACAGGCAACTAAGCCTTGGTGACTTCAGCTTTCCATTCTGCCTATGCCTCTAGATGCCTAGGAATTAACTCCTTCCTATTTGCCACATCCAAAAATATGAAACAGTGCTTGAAGAGAATTTTAAAATAAACACATCTAACCTGAAACCCCTGCAGATCCTAGACATCAGGGAAGGCAAATTCAGACTTCAAGACCACTCCAAAAGGGCCTCCCTGCTTTTTTCCAAATCTAAACTCAGTGATTCCAGAACCAATCTGGACAACCCTTCCGCCCTCCGCCAAGCTGGTGTGGACTAAATATATACACTCCAAGGCAAGCACCGCTTTTCTCCTAAGCACTGCTTCCTTCCCAGGCTGCCCAGATTGTGCATCTTAGTACGTAGTCCAGATTTTTTCTCTTTTCTTTATACTTTAAGAGAGAACCCCACCTGAATGGTTCTTAATAATGCTGTAAGTATGTTTTCCCCCTCTTTTCGACTAGAAATCTCGTTGCGAGTGCGAGCACAACACGTGTGGTGATAGCTGTGATCAGTGCTGTCCGGGATTCCACCAGAAACCTTGGAGAGCCGGGACTTTTCTGACTCGAACTGAATGTGAAGGTATGTTCTTGAGAAGCCTGAGAATGTGTCATTCTTCCTTTCCTGGATATAGGTAATATAAGCCAGTGGTGATTTTAGGTAAGCTCCTCTTTCCTGTAAGTGTAATTTATCCAAGGCAAGAGCTGATAAATATTTCACCTTGCTATCGAAATTTCTAAATTTTCAGTTTGTGTGTGTGTGATTTAAGATTTTTGCCATATGATGTGTGGGTTTGCTGGAGAGATGAAGACAGCGAGAGGGAAAGTGAGAAATCATCCCTCCCAGTGGATGGCCATGCTGTTGTCCCTTCTCCTACATTTTCCTTTTGGGAGCACACACACACACACACACACACACACACACACACACACACACATAGTATGATTTTCAAGCCACTGGTATGATTTTCAAGCCACTAGGTCTGGGACTCAAACCATGATCAGCCATGTGGGAGTACAACACCTTAATCATCACACCACCTGCTGGCCCTGGATGTCTATCTATGTGTGTTTTAATTTGGCAAGCATTGGCCAAATATCTAGGATTTAGCATTGTGTGAGGATTATGAAAAAAAGATAAAAGCATGGTATCTATTTAATATCATCAGAAAGAACCTGAAGCTTACAGAATAATGCATAAGTGGAGAGACTAATAGAAGTGTTAATGAACTTCATTCAGCAAATCCTAGACTCTAGAGAGACTTGCTTCTCAGTACCATATTTAGAAAGTATCCCGGGATGCAGATTAGCTCCAGTACCTCTTGGCTGCTTCTTTTGCAGCCCCAAATTCTGCCTGTCACTCCTAGGAAATAGCTCTGAATATCCATTGTCTAATAAAGGGAGAAAAATTAGAAGTGAGAAACTACACCCCTCACATCAGAGTCAGTTTATTACCTAAACAAATCCCCCAAACACTATGCCTTACCAGTTACACATAAAGGTAGTGTTTGGGCTAAGTAAAACATGGTTTTCACCAGTTGGCAATATTAGGTCATAAAGTCATTGATTACACTTCTTAGGTTTTTCCATTCAGGAAAAGTAGACACACAGCTGTCCACAAAGTGATAATCTTATAGTGAGTCATCAGAAAACTCATCATGTATTTTTTATGCTTTTTTATGCAAAAATGTGTCACAACTTTTTCTGATGACCTTATAACATACATGGGTGTTTATTGACATGTATGCATAATCAATCATTTTATTATTTCTTTTTAATCTGTCAGTGGGTTCCTGTGTTCACCAGAGAGAGAGAGACACACAGAGAGACAGAGAGGGAGAAAGCACCGCACAATGAGATGTGATCACATTGCAGTCTCTTAATAGTGGGAATTAATATGATAAATACGTGGATTCTCATTAACGATAACACTGTAGAGCTGCTCAAATTGAATGTCACATCAGTGGTAATCATTAGTATAAACTGTGCTGTAGTAATTATTGGACAGTGTGAACCAAGAAAAATGCAGCTATGAAAATAGTAAAATGAGACTAGCTCTATGGCCTGATGGTCAGGGGAACTGGATTCTGCAGGGATGACCAGTTGGTCAAATCCAGACCCAAGAGCTTGAGAAACATGACAGATGCATGTGCATACATGCCCCAGATCCCAGCAGGATGGAGGAATGGAGAAGGAAGGATTTTGCTATGCCCCCATCTTATTGTGAGGTGCTTTCTCCCTCTCCATCTCTCTGTGTCTCTCTTTCTGTCTCTGGTGAGTACAGGAACCCTGTGGCAAATAAAAAAAAAATAACAAAATGATCAATTATAAAAACATGTCAATAAGTACTTACTTATACTTAAATATTATCATTCAAAGACAGCTGTGTGTCTAATTTTCTTGAACAGAAATACCTAAGAAGTGTAATCAATGACTTTATAAAACCTAATATTGCCAATCTCTCACATCATGACAGGTGCAAACCAGGTTTTCTGAGATTTTTCTCAGGCTAAGAAAAGACCTAAAAGCAGATGCTTTTGAACTGTAAGCTTAAACTAGTATTAAACACAGTTCAAATATTAGTGCTTTATTGAATCAGCCCTAGCCACATTTTCTTTAGTTCAACAAATGTATATGTCCTCCAAAACGGCCTTGGCAGGCATTTTAAACTAAAACCAGCCCTATGTATATCTGCACTGAATACCAAATTAATTCAACTCATATTTATTATGGATCACACATCAGAACATGATGGGTCTTTAAAACTATTGAATCATAACACACTTTAATTATAAAATATTCCCCAATCATAAAATATGTTTTCTTTTCAATTTAAGATTCTGCATATGCTAGCAATGTCCTAAGTCCTTTCGTTTTCTGCACTCACTTCATTTGCTTTTTGGTTTATGTCTACCTGCTTGTAAACATGTTTGGGATTAGAAATCTCTCATCATTACTGGGGCATATCTAGAGGCATGGGCCAACATTGATCAGTCACCCATCAGTTTAAGGGACCATTGGAGACTCAGGCTTTATTTTCTTGAGCTATCCCAAGCTCCTTTTCAGCTAATCCCTCAGTTCTCCACAGCTTCTCTAAGAGAGAGCATTCATTCATTCTTAGGAGTGACTTCAAGTGAAATATCTGCCATGCAGGGATATTCGCTCTCAATCTTCCTTAAATTTTGATCTAATTTATCTTCTGTTTAGAATATCAGCATTCACAAGTGGGAGCAACATTTGAGGGTAAGGGTTTTTTTTCCTGTTGCCACTGATGTCAAATCTCGCAGTTATAATTATATGTGCTATTAAGTGGATCTGAAAAAAAAAACCAAAAAAACCCTTCACTACTTTCCACTCTATATCCTTGTTTAAATACAAAACAAAAAGGATGAATCAGCTTGTTAGCAACAGACTAAGTACAGCAAAAGATTTCAGCTTGATTCTATATACATTTTTAAATAATAAGATTATGAATTTTTTTCTTTCTTTGTATGGCAGATTGGAGGTTATAGTGTCAAACTGCAAAAATAAGCATTTAAAAAAACCCAGAAGTTTAAAATGGAGGTCTTAACTATTAGACCTTAAATAAATTCCGAGCTTTTGGCAATGTATATATACATTCTTAAAAGATTATATGAAAATTTTCTTTTCCGAGTTGAATTGTATTCCAGTCACCTTTACATTTAGAAAAATCCTTCTGTGACATGACAAATCCCTTCATAAAATGAATAATCACCTTCTAATTCATTTGAGTTTAACTTGGATTTTCATCAATCTAGATTACTTAAGGGAAGATATATCTCTAAAGAGAAAAGAATATTCATTCCATTGTGAACCCTTTACTAAGGGTTAGTTTTGTATCATGGGTCCTGGACATTTTGTGAGATCGTAAGTAGCTCAGGACAGAGCAACAGACCAACTCGGGGTGAGCAGGTACTAGCCGAGTGCTCTGTGGCCACAGAGGTCACTGGGAAGGTACACTGCACAGAAGCCAGGCTGTTAGGCAGAAGGTGCGGGCTGCATAGAGTGTGAAAAGGAAGCACGATTGCTCAGGTATCAGTGTTTTATCTCCCTTAGCTCATAGGTATAAAGATTCCTGGCAAGATTCATTTTAAATAGTGTGAGAATAAATTTTATTATTCTGTATTTCCCATTGCAGAAATCTTGACTGTTTACAATGGTTTTTTTTACAACATGGTTCTTAAGAGATCCTCTGTATTGTCCTAAAGACATACAACCACTTATAATGCCTACTGATATATATTTATATTTATTACTATGGTCTGACTAGAATGAACTTCAAAGCTTTCTATTATTATAGCAAAAATGCTATATTCTATTTAAATCGAAACTCAGCAGATGAGGAAAGACATTTGAAGCCAAAATGACAAGGGGATAATATCTCTACTACATTAAGGGAACTTATATATCAGTAAGAAAAAAAAAAGCAATAAACCTGTTAAAAAATAAGCAAAAATTCAAATAGGTATTTCTCAAAACAGAAATTATTTATTACCCTATAGAAAGATGGCCACCCTCATAATTAAGGGAGTACCAATTAGCATGATGAAAATATATTTTTAATCTTATCACAATGTTTATTCATCTGCTCAGCAAACACCTGAATGCTTACTATGTTCAGCAACCGTATTAGAAAGAGTTGATAATATGGAATGTTGGTGAGGCTATGAGGAAGCATAGCAGTTTTGTCATATCTACTGAATGTGATGATGCTAACATTTATTGAGATGAGTATTTGGTATGCCTCAGGCACTTGCTAAACATTCTCAAAGCAACTTTAAGAGATGAGTACTAAGATGGTGCTAAGGGGACTACAGATGGTGTAATGGTTCCATTGCTGGACTCCCATGTAGTTCACCGTAGTCCAAGTCTGAGATCCAGCAGCTTAAAACTAATTCTATGCACATGTGCTTGAGTGTCCGAAATCCTGAGAGGAGAAAGGAAATGAAAGGATTGCAATGTGGCTATCCCCCTTAGGGGATGATTTCTTACTTTCTGTCTCTGTTGCTCTCTTTCTCTCTGGTGAGCACGTACCCTACAGCAAAAAAATCTCTCTAAAAAATAAAAAAAAAATTATGATGCTAAGTCTTAAATTTGCTTTTGGGAGTAATTAAACTGACAAATAGAAGGCCTGCTACTCACCCCAACCCCACTTCCTTGTCCTCCTAGTGTATGTGCTTTGTTCTTTTGTAAAGTAGAAACCTGAAGACCAAGTTACTGACCATTAAGAGAAATTCAGTAAACACCTCCTTTCAAGTAGTGACCTGTGTAGCCTTCAGGCATGCAAATGCTAGTGTAGAAAGGGCTCCATGATTTACTGTTAGTGAAAGGAAACAGTTCAGAACAGAATATAAATGCTTTCCCCTTTTATGGGAAAAAATATTGAGATGTGTGTGCACATGCACACTTACATATACACACAAACACACACACATACAAGTGAAAATCAATATAAAAACACATAGGAAACTCAATATTTCAGATAAGAAGGAGACTGCATAAATATCTTTATTTTGGTTTCCACCCTAATATAAATTCTATGTGTTTTTTGAAGCTCATATTAGTGCTTTCTGGCTAAAGTGATATTTCTTTCCTTTGAATTCCTATAATGGAACATGAAAAAGACAAGGCAGATGAAGAGAAGGAAAAATCAATTGAGAGCCTATTTATAAGGCATTACGCTAATGATTTTACATGCAGTATCTCACTTGCTGCTTTTAAATATCCCTATCTGCTAATTGCTGTTGACCACCCCACATTTTATATGAAAACTGAGCCTTGGTGAAATTAAGTTCACAATGTCACATGTCTGCAAAATGGTAGAGATGACACCTAAATCCTAGACTTTGTTGCAAAATAGCATGAGCTTAGATATTAAGCAAATTCGTTCTTATTTTGTAATAATGACTTGGCACCTATCGTGTATCAAATCTTGCTCACCGGGTAAAATGTGAAAGGACTGTGGCAGTCCAGAAGTGCAATCTGTACTCCACAGTTTAGTGCCCAGTAATGAGTAATTTATCTTTTTTTTTTTTTAAGAATTATTTTATTTTAACTTTATTTACTTACTTATTTTAATTTGACCAGAGAAGGAGAGAGCAAGAAAAAGAGAGAGTGAGGGGGAGAGAGAGAGAGAGAGAGAGAGCAAGAAAACAAGCTGCCAGGTCTGGGACTCAAACCATGGTCGGCCATGTGGAAGTCTAGCGCCCTTAACCACCATGCCACCTGCTAGGCCCATGATTAATTTATCTTTTGCAAGTTACTTAACTTTTCTGTGCCTCAGGTTCTGAACATACAAAACATATTAGTAATAGTAGTTATTCATAATTATATTTTTAAGGAATAAGATCAGTAGTTATAAATATAAAACACAACAGAGTCTGGCATATTAAAAAAATGAAGTAGGTTGTATTTAGTAAAATAAAGGAATTTTATCCTACATGTCCTTCTTTTCCCATAAAATCTAACATACAGATTCCTATAGAGTAATTTCCATCAGAGGTTACCTGATAATCATTCAGTCATCATTCAATAACTTATTGTCATAATAGAATATTATAGATTACACCATATACTTGTACCTTTAAAAGTCACAATCATTCAAATATTAGCAACTTAATATGATTCAACTTAATTTATGTTTTAATTCTTTCAAATTCCATTAAAATAGTATTTATTTATTAATACAGCTAATAAATCCAAATGCGTTCTATATACCTTTCTCTATGTGTATGCATGGATGTCAAATGTAATATAATTACTCATAGGGTATAAACATCTGGTACATTTATCCGGAAAAAAATTTTAATGTGTCCTAAACACGAAATTGGTATTTAAAAATTTATTTTTTCTTAACACAGCATGTAATTGTCATGGGAAAGCTGAGGAATGCTATTATGATGAAAATGTTGCCAGAAGAAATCTGAGTTTAAATATACATGGAAAATACATTGGAGGAGGCGTGTGCATTAATTGTACCCAGAATACTGCTGGTATAAACTGTGAGATGTGCACTGATGGCTTCTTCAGACCCAAAGGGGTAATGTAAAATTTTCCTTTCATAAGGCATTAATTTGTTGTTTTATATGAAGATCACAGAAAAATTATTTTGAAAGTTGCTCTAAAAGTTGAACTTCTTTTTTTGGCACAATGTTGTAAGTACTAATTAAGAGTCAGCGAGTATTGATAGCATTTTAGCTCCCTTATGTCAGAGGTCCAGCACCAAGGGGCCCAGAGTACACATTCCAGTTAGTCACCTTTTGTATGCCTGAGTTTAGTTTCCTCAACTGCCTCTGGGTCCCCTTCTGGAATAAATGAACTCCTCCCCACCTTCCCCACTAACTAAACTGAAAATTGTGATTCGGTAACTTTTTAAATGTCTCACAACTCAGAAATAGCCAGACTAGAATTTGGAATCAAGCCTGTCTATTCCTATTATCTTTTGAGGCGTCACAGCTAGATTTCTGGAAATGAATAAAAGAGGGACAAATGAGGAGAGTAAGAATTGTTCGAAGGATAGAATAGAGATTATAAAACACTCTCTTTGTAGGAACCTGAGCTGTAACCAGGTAAATGAATAAGGCAGCATACCATATGGAATAGGAAACGAACTATAACTCTGTGTGTATTTTCTAAGTGAATTTGTCCCTTTTTATGCAAGATGTTAATTTCAATCTAATTTTGAATCATGTTTTGCAAGCTTTCTGATTGTTGCCATCAGTAATAAAAAGAGCCACGATTCTTAATAAACTTATACACCCTGCAGCATATCTACACTTCAAAATTGAAATAAGAAGGAAAAACTCCTGGAGACCATCTCTGATTTTCCAAAAAACACATGGAAATATTACTTAGCAGATCATACTATCTCTACACTTCGTGCCATGGTGACACTATGACATAAATAAACTATCTGTAGACACTAAAAAAAAAAAAGTTGAACTTCAAACTCTAAGACGACTAGGAATGTTTCATAATTGAAATGAATATCATTCTTTGAGACTGTAAATCAAGCCTTTTAATCTCCACAGAAAGTGCTATTGTATCTCATTCTAGTCAACACCCACTTCCAGGCAAATGATGTTCTAATTTTTACAACAAATTGGTTTTGTCTCTTAGTGAACGTCATACTAATGAAAGCAGATAGTATATACCAATCTCTAAAAGGAAGTCTATGTCTTCTTTCCTGCACTGAATGCCATGTGTTAAGATTTATCATTTTGTTTGTGTATCAATAGTTACATTTCAGGAAACAGCAGTTAGTGTAATGGCTATGTCGCTGGACTCCCACGTAGTCGACCGCAGTTCGCGTCCCGGACCCAGTGGCTTAAAACTCATGCCGGGCGCGTGTGCATGCATGCCCAAGATCCCGAGAGGAGAATGGAGGAGAAGGGATTGCAGCGTGACCATCCCCCCTAGGGGGTGATTTCTTGCTTTCTGTCTCCATGTCTCTCTCTGTCTGCCTGGCGAGCGCACGCGCCCTATAGTAAAAACCTCTCCAATAGTTACATTTCTTCTGCTTAAATTGTTGAATGACATTCTTCTATATGAAAATATCTAAATTTTTGACCCTTTCTGTTGATAGATATATGGGTCATTTTCAGTGTTAAAAGAAAAACTTCCAACAATTAAATTAGCAGTTTGAGTGAAAAAAGTCTATTTGGGTAGCCCTGGAGTGGCTTCCAAGGGACTCCACATGAGTGATGTGGTGACATTTATGGTCCAGGAAAGAAAAAGTGAAGTTAAATAAAAGAAGAGAGAGAAAAAAAAATAAAAAAAGGAAGTGGGGGGATGAGATAGAGAAATAATTAAATTGGTTACAACTTGATGTTTGCCCGCATTGACACAGTTTAAAAGGTGGGCTGTCTAAAATTGAAGTGTAGCTCAACTTAGCAACTTTCTAAGGGAGCAGACTTCAATGTACAGGTTGTGGTTTGCTTAGGGGAACTAAAGCAGGAGTACGGAGGCATTTTCCAGGATAATATATTAGGTTGTCAGGAAAGTCATGATGAATTAGAAAAACATGGCATGATTTTTCTGATGACCCAATGCTTTAACACCACTTTTTGGATAGCTCCTATGAACAATTTTATATAGGCCTTCTTGTATCTATGCTTTGATTTACCTTGCGTAAACATCTAGGAGGAGAATGCTTGCATCATAGGATAGGTACATAGTTTACTTCATAAGAAGCTGCCAATTTTTGCAAAATAAGTGATAACTTATTAAGTGTTCACCAACAAGGGATGAATTCCAGTTGTTCCCATACCTTTTCTATTATTTGATGCTATCTTTTAGATTGGTAGCCATCTAGTGGATGTGAAATGGTATCTGATTATGGATTGAATTTTCACTGGAAGTTTATATTAACCATATCTTGTAAAGTATTATGGGTCAATTTCTATAACCTCGGTCATGTTTCATTAATCGATTTGTCCATCTTTGTGCTAATACCACTCTGTCTCAGCTACTTTACTCAGAGAAGTAGCATTGTGAGAATGTTGAGTCCTATAATCTGTGAACATAATGCATCTCTCCACTTCTTTTTTCTGTGATTTATTCACGTCGGTGTTTTCACTGTAGAGATCTTGCATGTCTTTTGTTCAGCTTAATCCTCCACATTTTGTTTTGCACTATTGTGAAATAAAGAATTGTTTTGAAAATACTTTACTTTCAAATAGAATTAACATTTATCTTATAGTCATCTCCAGTTTATTACTAATTATTCTAGTACTTAAACTACTTTCTTTAGAAGTATACCTATAAACAGTCATGCTCCTGAAAATAAATTTTGGTTCATTTCTTCCTTTGCAGTTTTTATGCCAAAGTTAGCTAAAAATTGTAGAGCTGATATTTTTACTTTGCTCTAAATCTTTAAAGAAAACTTGTAATTTTTCACTATTGAGTACGATGTGTGCGGTAGATTTTTAAATGAATGCTCTTTATCTTATTCATCAAGTTTCCTACCATTCTTAGGTTGCTGAGAGTTTTCCTAATAAAAAAAGACCGGATTTTTCAAATGATTTTCCTTCATTTACTGAAATGAACATAAGAGTTTTCTCCTTTATTTCATCTATGTAGTCAGTTGCATTGACTGGTTTTTTAAATATAAAACTAACATTGCATTTGTGGATTAAACTCCATTTGGTTAAGCTACGTTATCATTTTAGATGTTGAATTAACCAATTTGTTAATATTTGACATAAGGATTTTTGGTAACATTATTTTCTTGTAATGTCTTTGTCAGGCTTCTGTATTGGGATCTGATGGACACAACAGATGAGCTAGAAGATGCTTCTTCTACCTTTGTTTTCGAAAATAATTTTTATGAGATCGAAATGAATCCTTCTAAAAGTGCTAGATAAAATTCCCCAGTGAAATATCTGGTACTATAGATTTCTCTGTGAGGAAAACTTTGTTATTGAATTGAGTATTTTTTCAGACATTCACTAGTTAGATAAGTTTTATATTTTGGAGGGGAGAGTCAATTTTTATATATTTTATTTCTCAAGGCATTTGTTCATTTTATCAATCTTGTCATATTATGGTATAAAGTTTAAATATTTCTCTCCTTAATACCATTTTAAAATCTATAGTATTTATGCTAATATTACCTTTATTATTCCTAAAATTATCAAAATTTTTATCCTTTTTAAAAACAGATACCAGGAGGTTATAATTTCATTAATCCTTAAAAAAACTTCTACATTTCAAGTATTTTCTCTATTTTTATTTATTTACTTTTTAGAGATTTTGCTACAGGGCATGTGTGCTCACCAGACAGACGAGAGACATAGAGACAGAAAGCAAGAAATCACCTATTCCACGAATTTCCTTCTTCTCCATCTTTCTCTTGGAATTTTGGGCATGCACACACACACACTTGGCATGAATTTCAAGCCACTAGGTCCAGAACTCAAACCGTGGTCAGCCGTGTGGGAGTTCAGTAACATAACCATTATACCATCAGCTGGTTCTGTTTTCTCTATATTTTTAAATTTCTAATTATTTATATTATATCAGTTCTTTAATCTGTTTTGGGTTTAAATGTCCTATTCTTTTGCCACATATCCATTTGGAAAGTTAGGTTATGATCTTAAACCTTTCTACTTGTACAATATAAGCATTTAAATATACTTTTGCTTCTATTAAACTCTTTAGCTGTTTCCCATAAGTCAAAAATGTTTTATGTTCATTGTCATTTATTTTAAATAGTTGTTTTTATTTCTATTGTGAGTTCTTTGTCATTTAATTTCCAAATCTTGGGCTCTATTAAATATCATATTTTATTGAGTTCTCCCTTGGTTGTCTCTTGGTCTGAGAGCACAATCATCTCTAAGATATCAAATTTTAGAAATGTATTGAGATTTTTTTTTTTTTTTTGTACTACGTGGTCTCTCTTGGCAAGGTGATATGTGCACTCGAAAAGAAGGTTTTCCCCAAAGTTGCCAAATTCTATTCCTGTGAATTTCCCCAATCTCTGATTATGGATTTTTATGTTTTGTTGTTCCAGTATTTCATCCTGTACTTTGAAGCGCTGTTATTAGGTCCTTACACATCTAGATTTTTTTTTCTTTACATAGCTATGGTTTTTTATCTTATAACTTGACATTTTAATAATTCTGAAAATCTCTCCTTAATTTCAGATCAAACTTTGTGTCATAAAGTCTACTTTGCCTCTCATTAGTCTAGCTATACCAGCTTTTTTACGTTTCTTCTGTATGGTACATCTTTTCTTACCTTGCTAATTTTGAACCATGTTGCAATAGAAAAAGTAATCAGGCAGGCTTTATTATTGAATATACATTAGGGGACTAGAGGCAAATATTGCTAGTTTTCTTTGATCTGGCGGTGATTCTGTGGTTATTATAGAGATTCATCCTGAAATATATAGGTATTAAAGACTAAGATTTCCTTTCAAAGATTTAGCAAATAATAAAAAGGGATAAAACAAAAGTGACAAAATCTTGTTAATTGCTGAATCTAGGTAATAAATATGTAGGATCTTATCGTATCATCCTCTTTACTTTTGTGTATCCAAGTAGAAGAAATAAATGTTTGAAACTGCAAACATGTATCAAAGGTAGTAATTTCTTCTATTATAATGTTCTCAAAATAATTCGTTGCCATATATTACTAAAACTAGTTGGTTCTTAAATGTTTGCTGAACTGAAAATACTGTGTTTTTATTACACTGGATTAAAAACATTTAACTCATTTTTAGGTGTCTCCAAATTATCCACGACCATGTCAGCCCTGCCGTTGTGATCCAGTTGGTTCCTTAAATGAAGTCTGTGTCAAGGATGAGAAACATGCTCGGCGAGGTAAGAGCAGAAGGGGAGCGGCTGCTCTGGTGGAAGACCATTTTGTAGTCAATTTCATTCACATGACACTCATTCTTTTCTCTGTCAGTGTATCGGTGTTCCCTCCAGGAACACGAAAATTTTTTCTCAGTAATTCATTTCATGTTTAATTATAATTCTGTGAAAGCAAGAAGAGTTAAATGATTCGTTGTGAGATAGAAAGAGGTAGGAGTCATCACAGATGGGTGCTGTGTATACTTTGTAAACGTCTTGTTATTTATTAGATGCTTTTGTAGCTTGCATGGGTTCTAGTGTGTAAGACAGCATTCATTGAGAGGTGAATGTGTCATGGTGGGTGGAGCAAATAGAGAAGATAACATAATACGGAAGGCAAGAAGAGTAAGTATCTAAAGATTAAAAAAATAGTAATTGTGAGATAACAACAGGAAATAGTCTGACACTAGTTAAAGACAAACACTTTCTTTGAGGAATAAAATTCACGATGAATTCCAGACACTAAGGAATCAAATGCCAACATAACCTCTTGGAAAAAAATGTTTGGGGACTACGTCCAGGGCAGTCAGTTGCCAAATTTAAGTAGAAAATTTATAGAATGTATCTAGAGCAGTTTCTATGTGTTTCCACAAGCAAATTCTTCTCTTGTTTATAAAAACAAAAATAACTCGTACCTACAATGTAGATTTTTCCCTTTAATGACTTGAAGATTGTTGAAAGTCTGTTGATATTTCTTTGGCACAGTTATCTTACCTACTTTCTTTGTAAAACTAAAGGATTATCAATTTGAGTATTACATACAGTCTTCTATCTTGAAATATTTAAAAACTGATATATTTCCAATAATTAATTACTAAGTTCATTTTTTCATTTAAGCCTCTTTTCCTTTTACAACATCACATTGTTTTCAGTAATGTCTTTTAACTCCCCTTTTAAAATAAATATATCAACATCAAAAAAGTTTAAAAAGCAGAACAGCAGGAAAACAAGAATACAAAGTGGGAGGGGGTGGGATTTCTTGCTGTCTCTCTGTGTCCCCGGTGAGTAAACGTACCCTATAAGCAAAAATCTCTTCAAAAAGAAAATTCCAGATTTGCTTTTTCTATCAGTATGTTCGATGTTTCTAATATACAGAACTTTAAATTTTTTTATGTAATTGGTTATTAAAGTTTAGATAATCATTTTTAGCTATAGCGATACTATGCCCTGATTGTTAAACCCGACCATATATATACATTGTAATCTGTCTGGAATATATTTTGGTATATATTACAAGGAAAGTTTCTAACTATATTTTATTTTCCCATGGTCTCTTTTATAATTCACCTATTTTTAACACATTAAGTACATTTGTTATATTCTATATTTGTAAGTAGCAACCTCTCCTGAGGTTCATTTTGCAGTCTGATTTTTCTGCTCCCTCTTACTCACGAGATCATCACCTTATCTCTTTCCCGTGTTTTGTGTGGATCAGCATGCATGTATGTATGTAAGTTTCCCCAGATTACCTTTCAGAAGTCTTGAATTTACTTGAGGTTCTCTGACATGAACTCCTAACTTGTGCAAAACCTAGAAATTTTTTTATTGTTCCATAGAACTATGCTCAATGAACTCAAATTGAGTTGATCAGAATTTACTGGTCTACTTGGGGAAGACACTGGCTTATAAGCTGGCTTACCTCTGTAGGAGTCAGGTTTATAGTTTCTCACCTCCAAGGGTTTCTTTATTTCACACTCCCACAATCTTTCTATCATCTGTCTGAATTGTTCCCTCAGCCCCATCTATATATCTCTAGTTTTATCCTGAATCTTGTAATCGCTAGACATCCAGTTGCCAGTATTTCAAGAAACAAAAGTTAAGATAGACCTTGTTTATTTAGTGTAACATACCTCTCAATTTCTAGAACTTTTAACATAGAAATAAACATTAAATTTTAAAATGCTTTTACAAACTTTCTTAAAATCATTAGAGGTCTGTCCATTGCATGGTTTTAGGTGACTGGATCCTGCATGGCCGACCATGCAGTTCATGTTGCAGACTAGCAGCTTGAGAAGCACACCAGGCCTATGTGTAGATGTGCCTCAAATCCTGAAAGGAGGAAGAAGTGGAGAAAGGATTGTGATGTGATCACTCCCTCATGTGGCTTGGCTCCCTGTCTGTTGGTCTTTCTTTGCAAATCTTCTGCAAGTGCATGCACTCTCTGGCAAAATTTTAAAATAGTCATTAGATTTCTTTTCCTTTTGCTCATCGGATAAGCTATATTACACAATGAACTCATTAAATCAACATAATTAGATTTTTTAATTTTCCTTTTTTAAAATTCATCTGTAAATATTTTAAATGGGTAGGTTAATGGCTTTCTCAGCTATTTATTTGTAACTTATTTTTCTTTTAAATCCAATATCTTTTATCATTTATATATTTTGAACTTGTAATTGTGCTTGTGCTTATTTGAAGCATGCACATAATAACTTCAATCATATTTTTATTTCATCTTTCTCAATGTAAAATAAGAGCCTGTCCTATGATATGTCATTGAATTCTATTTTGGCCCTAATTTATATTACTGAAATTCTCTTTTTCTTATATATATATATATTTAGAATGTATGTGTGGCTTTCTGTCATTCTGCTTTTTGCTTTCCTTACTTTTTCTCTTCCCTCTTTTCTATCTGATGTACTATATTGTATTGATTGGCTTCTATCTTTTTCTACATCTTAAAATTCTATAACTGTGATTCATTTGACCAGCATTTTTTCTAATCAAGGACATTAATAAAACTCATCTTTGGTATTTATATATAAAAAATAAATTTAAACTGCTTTCATTTCCATCCTCCATTCTGTTCAGTTATAAACTATCCATTTCCATGTGCACCTTCAATCTGTTCTTTAGTAACACTGCCCATAATGTCATTCTTAGGTTATCATTAAATTGTTCTTTTAAGTAACATACCTTTACTCCCAAGACTCTCTTCCCCATTGTGACAATTTGGTGGAGTAGGCTTGTTTTATGAGCCATCAGGTATGCATACCTTATTACTTATTCTCAAGATGGTGTCATCGGCCTTAAAGTTTATGAAACTTAGCCCTTGATCACTATTACAGTTTCTGAGTAGCCTTGGTTTGGTTAGATGCTTTGAGATTTCATTTGTCTTTTTTATTCTCATTGTTAATATTTTTTAGAAAATTATTTATTTAACTTAATTTTTTCATTCATTTATTTTAATTTCACCAGAGAGAGACAGAGAGAGGGAGAGAGAGAAAGTGAGAAAGCAAGCCACCAGGCCCAGGACTTGAACCATGGTCAGCCATGTGGGAGTGTCCAGCACCTCAACTACCATGCCACATGCTGGTCCCCATTGTTAATATTTTTAAAGTTACTTAAAAGCTGCCATGTTAGCAAAATCATAGCCAGCTTCTAATTAAACTCTATGTACCCTTTGTCTTATCTTTATGATGTCTATCAAGAAGCTAATTTTTGTGTTAAATAGGTTTTTAAAGGCTACTGTAAGAACAAATTTAAGAATTAAATTATATATTTGTTTTAAAAAATGTTGGTATGTGGCTCCTCTTCTCTTAGGTTTGGCACCTGGATCCTGTCATTGCAAAACTGGCTTTGGAGGTGTGAGCTGTGATCGGTGTGCCAGGGGCTACACTGGCTACCCAGATTGCCAACCCTGTAACTGCAGTGGCTCAGGGAGCACAAATGAAGACCCTTGTTTTGGGCCCTGTAATTGCAAGGTAATTTTTTTATTCCAGTAATGTCTCATTGTCAAGACAGAAGATTATTTTCCTTGGCTTCTGTTATATCTGACACTGGGCAATTGTAACAACTCTCCTGTAAATATCCACTATCTATTCTGTATTAGGCACTCCTGTAAATGTCTTAAAATACTTACCAGGGAGGCCAGCAAGTGGTGTGGTGGTTAAGGCACTAGACTCCTATACTGTGGTATATGGTTCAAGTCCTGGACTCTGTGGCTTGAAGATCATGGCAGATCTTTGTTTCTTTTCAAAAATAAAATAAAATAAAATAAAATAAAATAAAAAATAAAATAAAATAAAATAAAATAAGATAAGATAAGATAAAATAAAATAAAATATAAAATAAAATCATGCTGAGTGTGTTTGCATGTGTGCCCAAAATCTGAAAAGGAAAATAGAGGAGAAGGGATTGCATTGTGGCCATCCCCCTTGAGGGGTGATTTCCCATTTTCCCCTCTTTCTGTCTGTCTCTCTCTGGCAAGCACATATACCCTCTAAAAAAGAAAAATCTAAAAGGAAAAAGGAAAAGAAAAGAAAATGCCTAACAGGTTTAAGAAAGCAAAATATTTATGTTACCTGCCATTTGTCTAAAAATCTACAAATACTAAGGGGATAAATCTTACGTCATGAAAGTTTAGAACAAAAACACCTTTCACCCCATTGTCTAACTAGTCTTTTAATTAAAAAACAAACCAAAAAAGCCGAATATGTAGCACTAAAAATAATAGCCCTTTAAGGGGTATATCAGCCTATGATGCATCGAAATCTACTTTTCCTTCTAATTCTAAAAAAATTCCAACAAGGATTTTATTCTGGATTTTTATATAATCTTCTGAAGTTTGAATCCATATGGGAATTAAAATACTCACCATAGTCAAGCCATTTTGTTTAATTGCCAAAAATGTACAAAGCCCTGGTGGGATTGATTAAAGGCCCAGTATTTCTTCCCAAGAGTACTTTTAGAAGTGCAACTTTATTGTCATACACTTGGTTAATAGCTCATCATGTTAACGCGGAGGGATGCATTATACTCCTTGCTAATAGACATCGAAGAAACAGAGAGGCATACACAAGTCTCCAATGATAAAACTAATTAATTTTGTAACATTCTGATCAGACAGTATATAGTTACATTAACTGAGAGAATGAAGAATTATTTGAAAAAGTTGGCATGCTATACTGATGCCCAATTAACAGTTACTTCTTGTTTTTTGTTTTCAGTCGTAAGTGGAACCTTAGAAAAAACATCCCCTTAATTAATTCATTAGTCTTATTTAGGCAACTGTAAAATATTATATCTTTATAATTGATATATGTGTATGTGTATATACTAATATTAATGTTTAGTTACTAACATTCTACTAACATTAAGCCATAAAACAGTAGTAAGGAACGAGCAGATAACATAATTGATTACATTGCTGGGACCCCCACATGGCTGACCATGGTTAGAGTCCTGGACCCAGCAGCTTAAAACTCAAGCTGGGTGCATGTGGTTGCATGCCCCAAGTCCTGAGAGAATGGAGGGGAAGGGATTGTGGGGTGGCCATCACCCTAAGGGATGATTTCTCACTCTCTTTTTGTCTCTCTCTGTCTCTTTGGTAAGCACACGCACCCTACTGCAAAAATATGTCCAACGGCAACAAAAAAGTAGTAAATACTAGTTTTAATGTTTTATATTTATATACTGTCTGAAATAGTTAAATATTCTAATAGTTACATAATAGGTATATGTTATATAAGGGGTAATGTAGGTACCATTTTGGATGATTGAAACCATAAAACTGATTACACAGTTATGCAGAAACCCACATACTCATAGTAAAGAGCTGTTACATGTTGTTATATAGTACATTTTCTAGATCTAGTACCTTTCATTCCAATATTATCTGGAATGAGAAATTACTCTAGTAGACCAAGATGGTACAGCAGCCTATGAGTGATTGCTTGCTTAAGGACACTTCCCCTCTCCATCCTGCATGTCTTTTAGGGCAGTCCTACAAGCTTTTGGTACATCTTCCCTGGTATTTATCAAAACTTAACTCGCATGTGCTTTATTCTTTTTCCAAAACCCCACAAAAATCTCTAATCTTTACTAGTTACTCGGATAAAGAGTAAGCAAAGCTAAGCTTAAAATAGAAGAGAAATCTTTTGAGTCTAGTATATAGGAAATCAAAGGAAAAAAAGAAAATATTTTTATGTGCCTATGAGTCACAGAGGGTGCTGTCTGGTATTTGCAAGTGAAGCGTTAGAAATGAATGAGGCAAGTCAACCTCATTTATTTCATTTTCTTTCATAAATATAGCAAGAAGAGAGCTGCAGTGATTAGCAGAATTCTGAGGGAAAGCTTCTTGAGCCACTTACTGTCTGTGTATATCTAACTCAATATTGTACCGAGAATAATTACAATCCTAAGAAAAATGCCTCCCACACAGTTACATCAAGCTCTACACAGACAATTAAAATGCTCAATAAACAGTAATTAAGAACTCATAAAAGAGAATAAAAAGTTAGGTAAATAGAATCATTAAAAAGTGCCTTTCAATCAAGTGATATTTTAAACAGATAACTCTAAGTTCTTATAAACTAAATTTATTTTTGATAAAAAGTTGTAAAAGCATATTTTTGGAGAGGTTTTTTTTTTTTTTTTGCTATAGGGCGCGTGTGCTCGCCAGACAGACAGAGACATAGAGACAGAAAGCGAGAAATCACCCCCCAGGGGGGATGGTCACGCTGCAATCCCTTCTCCTCCATTCTCTCGGGATCTTGGGCACGCATGCACACGCGCCCGGCGTGAGATTTAAGCCACCGGGTCCGAGACGCAAACCGCGGTCGACTATGTGGGAGTCCAGCGACATAGCCATTATGCTAAATGCTGGTTCCCGTAAAAGCATATTTTAAGAAATATCTTCATCCCCCTAAAAAGCACAAGTTACATCTATGTAGCCTATAAATGCTATCACAAAATTATAATATTGCAACATATTATAATAAATTATACCACAATGTGTATACAAACTACCATAATTAAGTGCCTTTAACCTCTTATTTGTAAGTATAGTAAATGGCTCAGTATTTCAACCAGATATATACAAGTAAGTTCTGAGAAGACACCTATTAGTGTAGAGAGAAATGTGAAGAGATAGTTCATTCTATTTTGTAGGAACATAATTTGACATAGATGTATCAAATGATTATTAAAAGCAACAGGAGGGGGCCAGCAGGTGGCGTGTTGGTTAAGGCGCTGGACACTCCCACATGGCCAACCAGGGTTCAAGTCCTGAATCTGGTGGCTTGCTTTCTCACTTCCTCTCTCACTCTCACCCTCTGTCTCTCTCTGGTCAAATTAAAATATAAATGAATGAATAAATAAAATAAAATAAATAATAAAAAAACAGAAAATCAAAATGCTATTTAAGAGGCAGCATTTTATTGAGCGATTAAAACACTAGAAAATTAAATTCAAGTAAAATAATATTTTTTGGCTTAATAGAAAGACTATCTACATACATGTCCATCTAATATATCAAAGTTAGTAACTTTGAACAAGTATTCATTTGTAAATAGAGAGGCCAGCAGGTAGTATGGTGATTAAGGGCTCTGGACTACCACATGGCTGACCTCGGTTTGAGTCTCCGACCTGGTGGCTTGCTTTCTCACTTTCTGTCTCTTTCGCTCTATCCTTCTCTGATCAAATTTAAAAATAAATAAAGTTAAAAAAAATAATTCTTTAAAAAATTGTAAATGGAATCTGAATTATGTAAAATAATGTCTATATAAGTATTCACCTACAAAATACATACCAATCAAACATTTGCACATCTATTCCCTTATAATATATGTGTAAGAGTTTTTTAATGATTTTTTAATTGAATTTTTGCATGTGAGAACATGTGTCACCAAAAACAGAGAAAACAGGGGGGAGTGATTAAGCACCCCCCCACACACACTTCTCTATAAGGGATGGTCAAACTCTATACCTTCTCCTCCATTCTCCTCTCAGGATTTTGGGTGTACACATACATGCACATCTGGTATGTTTTTCAAGCCACCAGGTCCAATACTTGAACTGCATAGTTAGCCATAAAGGATCCAGCCACTTTAATCTCCATGTCATCTGCTGGCCCTAATTTTATAGAAGGAAATACCTCCTTTACTGAAATATGAAGACATTTCAAGGAAGTGCTTCCTTATGCAGTCTTCGGCCTCCATTTTCAATGACTGCTGTTCTGGAAAAAATGCCACATTGAGCTGCTGTGGATACCACCTTTCCCATTTCTGCTGCTTCAGTCACAAAGATATGCTGGTTAAGCAGAGCAAATAAATTACAAATATTTACATTCAGGGAAAAAAGGAAAAATCTCAGGAATCACATCAAAGATTAAAAATCTACGTTAATCACAAGCTCAAGGAAAACTGAGCACTAGTGTCAAGGGATGGATGGGGTATAAGAGGCTAGTCTTAGTTCAAGGTCAGGGCTGAATGTGGAGTTGTAATGTTCTCACTTGATACTAGCACTGGTTCCGCAGAGGACAGCTGGAGCTAAAGTCACAGTGGGGCTCTAGAAATGCTTTCAGGGAGAGAAAAGGAAATTGCTTCTAATACCTCCTACAAACATGGAGAGGCAGCTCAGAAACTTTTTCTTTTCTTTGAGGCTCTAGGTTTAGAAGAGTTAATACCTTGTGAGTAATCAGTTAGCATAATAGCTATGTTGCTGGACTCCCATGTAGTCGACTGCGGTTCGAGTCCCAGACCTGGTGGCTTAAAACTTATGCTGGGTGCGTGTGCATGCATGCCCAAGATCCCGAGAGGAGAATGGAGGAGAAGGGATTGCAGCGTCGCCTTTCCCCCTGGGGGGTAATTTCTCGCTTTCTGTCTCTCTGTCTCCCTCTGTTTGTCTGGCAAGCACACGTGCCCAATAGCAAAAATCTCTCCAAAAAAAAAAAAAAATCTCTAGACCACTGTACCACGTGGAA